GAGAGAGAGAGAGAAAAACGGGGAAAGAGAGAGAGTAAGAGAAGAGAGAGAGAGAGAGAGAGAGAGAGAGAGAGAGAGAGTGAGAGATTAGCAGGCTCGGTTGGGGGTAAGGGTCCCGTTGCGAAACTTTTCTTGGCCTCGAACACGTCATCGAGCGCGACGAATCTTGTGTACGCGCGTGTCATTATGAATTATCAGCCACGAGGATGGTAGTTTAAATATCGAAGGCCGAGGAAGCCAGAGAGGTCTCGGGAAGGTGGTGCTTGGCCGACAGCGACGATAGTGGATGACGTGCGCGCACGGCGAGATTCACCGATGACATTTCACGCGGATTCGAGAGCAGAGGAGCTACCGCAGCGCCGCCGCAACGCGAGCGCGAAATCAAAGCGTATGGCCGTCCCGTCGGAGCTTCCAGAGCTTAAACGAGCGATATTATAGAGTGGGTTCCCGTGGGGCTGGGAAATGGTAGGCCTTGGGCGTTGATACGGAAATCGGTACTCGCGGTCCGATTCGACGGCCACGGAGATCGTGAGGTTTCCCCGCGACATTACCGCCGGCCGCGAAACCGTCGGCTGGCCCTCGTCTCCCCACTCCCATCTCGCCCTACCCCCGGCGTATGGGAGCCCCCGCCGAGTCGTTTTGTAATAAAGTCTGGTCGAATTGGGTGCGATCGTCGTCGGGATTATGTGGCACTTTGTTGGCCTTGGCTCGGTCATGCATCGCTAAGAGCCAACGACGACAGTTTGGTATTGTCAACGTGGAAAAATATGTCTACCGCCAGCAGCGTCTTACCTTCCTGACGCTCGTCATCCACTCGATTAATGTGTATTTGTAAGCGCAGGTAATCCACAGACTTTTTTTACCCCTTTCTTGTTATAATGGTCGAGTGTTGAGCTACGACCGCCCTTGGAGTCGCTGTTCCCTTGCGTATTAAAAGCAAAGAAAAAATATAGAAAAGAGGACCAGCGACACAATTTTACTTTCTTAGCTGCGTACGTCATTTTCATCTGGCTTCAACGGCATGCTCTGGCGATAATCGAAGCGGGCGTTATCGTATTATTTAATGCGCTTTATTTTTGCCTTCTTAGTATTTACGTAGGCTGCGCTTTATTCAATGGTCTCATAAATGATAGGTTAGCTTTATATTATGGATGAATATTTAGGGGTTTTGGCTAATTTTCATTCTCACTACTGTTTAACCCTGCGTTCCATAACACTGGATCATTAATCGCAATAATGTTATGCGCAAAATTTTTATTCTCTATCGTTCTTTTATTTTATTACGTATGTTGGTATTTTCATCCGCCTGGAATTTTAGGAATTACCTTTGCAGACATTGTCCTCCTTCGTACATTAAACATTGCTGTAATAATAAATAATAAATAATAAATAATAATTAATAAATATAATAGGATTTTATCTTGTATTTTAGTTTGAAGTTTACATCAGAAAGATAATTAAATGAATCTCAGAAAGCCATACCAAGCATCGGCCTATTATAAATTCATGGCTTATTTAATAATTAATCCTTATCGTCTAAGAGGAAAAATCACTCCTAATATTAGTTGTGTGTATTTTAAAAATTACCTTCTTATAAAAGAACTTGTTCGTTTATATTATTTAATGCAGCCCAAGTTTAATAATATATTTACCTATTGTAATATTTTTATTTCAAATTTTGTAAAAGAAAACATGATTTGCTTCAATAATTTTTAAAGCAGAATTATCCTCAATTTGTGGAAACCAAAGACTGTTGTATGTAAATACTAACGTAATTAACTTACCCCAGTGGCACTACTATCCAATTAGTCTTTGAGAACAAGAGAAGTGGGTGACACTGGATCTAGCCATTCCACAAACTTTCATTGCCATTAATTGATCCACAGTGTTACGTAGAAATCTCCATTTAAAAATAGACCATTTAATAATTGCAATTAGTAATGATGTGGTTTTCTTTAATTTTAATTCTTCAGTTAGCAATGTGGGGCAGTTCGGAAGAACCACCTGGGACGATGGAGGCGGATCCTCCAGAATCAGTGGTCAATTTAAAAGACTCATGTGAGCAGAAAACCCAATTAGAATCTGTAAAAGATATAATGCTTAGAAATAAACAGACTTTAAAGCAGAAAGAAGAAGAATTGCAGGTCATTATTTCACTTTATTAATTAGACTTATTTCATTAATTTTTTTTCATCACCACGTATATAGATAAATATAAGATATTGATTTTTTTGTCTTTTTTTTAAACTAATACTTTCAGAAATATGCCAAAAAATTATCCAAATTCAAATCTCAAGCTAAGAAATCTGGCTTAAGTAAAAGTGATGACACGTCTTCCGCTGAAAGTACTCCCAAGTCCATGCCTGATATAAGCATGGTTGAGTCATCGGTTGATGTCGACGACATCAGTCAAGCGACGACTCCTAAAGCCAAATCTTCTTTGTTACAAAAAAAATTAGCCGAAGACAGAAAAATATTTCAGCAACGAAATAAAGAAATGACTGAAACTAAGAGAGTCGTTCAGGGAAAGGTTGAGGCACTTAAACAAAAATTAGATAGACAAAATGTGACACCCGTCACCCCTCTTAGTCCTGCTTCTGTTCCATGCCAGGTTGTATTCACTTCTACTATTCCATTATCCATACGACAATGATACTAATAACATGGATATTGCAATGATTTTTCAGACTTGTGATTCGATAACGGAGCTACACCATTTACAAGATAAAGATAATAAGATTGCTGAATTAAGTAATAAGATTTATGATTTGGAAGCTGTCATTATAGATCTTCAAGATAACTTAAAAGAAAAAGATTCGGTTATAGATTCTAAAACAAAAGCTATTACTTTGATGTCCGCAGATTTGTTAAAGAAAGGAAAAACTACATTGGATAATTTAGAAGACACAAAAGATGAAATGCGATCGATGCAGGAGAACTTTTTGCTTATAGAAACATCATTACGCAGTAAAAATGATAATTTGTTAAAGCAGTTGGAAGAAAAAAATCAAAATTTATCGACACTGGAAGAAAATGTTCAGAGGTACTTTTTTTCATATTTTTTCCCTAGAATTTTGTACGACGTGATATGACAATATTTATTTATTTTTTTGGCCTCTCAGTTTGACGGATGAATTGGCAACTCAGAAAGAAGCTGAAACTACTAATGCAGATTTGTCTCGGTCAACGATGGATACTTTAATCGATACAAAGGATGCAATGAAGTCGATGCAAGAAAATTTTGTACTAATCGAGTCTTCGCTTAAATCGAAAAACGAGTACCTTCTACAACAATTGGAAGAACGTGAAATAAAATTAGGGGAAGCTCAGGCCAAAATATTAAGTCTTGAAAGTGGAATGGGAATAGAAAGGCAGCCTGATGTCGAAGAACTCTCTTACAAAGTAGCCAAATTAGAGGAAATCAATCGCATTCTTCAAGATGAGAAATATAACTTGGAAAAGAATGTTGCAAAATATCAAGATCAAATTATTAATAATGACTTCCTAAATTCTGCTGAAATAGTTGATAAAAAGGATAAACGAATAGAAGAATTAGAAGGTTTAATCGAAGAATTGAAAATATCAAATCAACAAATGGGAGAAGTTAAAAGTAATGTAGATAAGCAAATAGTCGATTTAAATAAAATGAATGAAGAGACCTTTAATAAAGTCGCCGAGCTGGAAAAACAGTTACTCGATATAGAAAATGAAAAGAGCGAATTAATAGCAAAATTAACCGTGAACGACAGCGAGGCTTCTAAAGAAGACGAAAAAGTGGAGAAATTGACGAAAGAGTTGGATCAATTAAACAAAAGCATGATAAAGATGAAAGTTGAACATAAAAACAAATTGAAGAATTTGCAAAAACAGATAAATAACTTTAAGAAGGTTATTATTCAATAAATTAACGTTGCTGCGAATAGAAATAAAACGAGCGTGTTTTTGCAGGTATCCGACGTGAATGCCGAATTAGTGAAACTGGAAAACCAGGTCGCATTATTAGAGGAAGAGAAAGGTAACCTTCAGCTGAGTCTGGTAGACTTTGATGAGCTTAAAGGTAGGAACCTGAACGGACTATAAATATACCGTTACTATCCATCATCTTTATTTTTTGTTGCTAATTTACCAATTCATATTTCTTTGTAAATCTGCAACTCCGGTTCTTTCGTCATTTTGCAAATGTATCAATAATATCGAGGAGCACATTTTTTTTTATCAATTTTTTTCGAAATTTGAAATTTCACTTTAACACCGAATAAATTCATTATGTTCGATACGATTTAATTTAATTTTCAAAACATTAATTTTTGTAAATCTGTATAACATAGATTGATAACTTTTTGACAGAATGCAAGATGTGGTTTTAATTTTTGTTTTGGTGATGGATTTCTTAACGACATTGATTACGATTTTTTTCATTTTATTGTTTTGATATAGATTGAACTAAATTGCCTTAATAAATTACAAATTTAGTTAGATTAATTACGTTCTCCAGTTAAAAGTTTTACACATATGTATAACATGGAACCTCCTTTATTACTTATCAAAGTTTGCTAAGCTCTGATATTAGATGTAGAATAATATTAAATGCTTTTCGTAACGACGTTTCAGTTGAAATGTATATTCAGTTTTTAATTTGTAATGATTGTATTTTTGCATGATTTCTTAACTACACATTGAATTTAATTGTTTCAAGTCGACTAATCATTACTTTTATTTTTCCTCTATTATTTCCATTTATAATATACAGTATAAAGTGGAAAATGAGAAAATTTAACGAAAATTCATACGAATCCTTAATTGATTTATTTCACCAAGAAAAACTGAATGATGCATTTTTAATATCTTGTTAATAATATATGGATATGTAATAATAATAAAAAGCTTAACCTACAATGCTTTTATACGTGCTTACCAGTACGTGTTTGTATGTATGTAGAGTAAGAGTGTGCAGTGAAAGTAGAGTCATATATTAGTTATTTGTAAATAAATCCATGCAAAAAATGCAAATTTGTACATTTTGGGATGTGAAATGGTATGCACAGCATCAACGGGTGATTTGCAAGATAGCATCTGCGACCTCGAAGGTAAGGTCTCGACACAGGCAAAAGAGATACAGGCTCACATCGAAGCCATCGCCATTCTGGAAAATCAAAAGTTGGATCTTATACAAGGTAATGTTTTTTCTCCGTTAGCACTATTGGACTTGCCAATATAAGTCTTTTTTACATATATTGATTTAGATTTTTTTAATTACTTTAATTGAATTTTTAATTTATATACACATTCCATCTATTTATGAAATTTATTATGTTTCAATATGTACTTTTCGACGTTTTTTGACCATTCGAATTATTGATTAAAAAAAAAAAAAAAAAAAAAAAAA